TGACCTCCTTTTATTGCTTCTTGTTCAGCCCCTGGAACACCTTTAGCACGAGCGCATCGGCAGCCGAGATTCTGTGTTTCAAGTGCCACAACTTCCAACAGGTCCGGGTCGCCAATTCAAACGCAGAAAAAAAAGAGAGGGTATATTGTTGGAAATCCAACAGCCAGAGTAGCGATACTTCTGAACAGGGCGCGCAACGTAGTGCAAGCAAGGTCACTGGTACGGGGCTTCAATTCGTGATGCACTTGTCTGACAGTCTGATTGATGTAACTGGAAGAAAAAGGAGAGCCTCTGTGCCCTTAAAAACGCTGCATTGGGCCCAGTCTGGTGGGACCAATAAGCCCCTGTCGTTGACCCGCCGTACCGTATCCTCAGCCACCCGTTTTGTGCAACATATATTTGGACTGTCCACAGTCGGGTTGGGTTCTCTTGACGGTAACTGTTGGACGTTATACGGGTTTAACAAATATTGGCACAGCGCAGGACACGCGGTTCATTAGCGTCGAAATTGAAGGGGTTCGTCCGAGTTCTTGATTGGGTTGAGTGCCGGTGTGGGGTTGGGTTGCGTTGGGGAGAGAGGTGGGGGAGGTGGTGGTGAGAGATGGAGATGAGTTGGCGGGGACCATGGCCCAGCTCTTCCCCACGACGCCCTTGCGCGGCCGGTCTTGGTACGCGGCCGCCTGCGAGTTGGCCGCTTGCAGGGAAAAGTGCTCGCTGCATCGGATGGCTTTGGACTGCTTTATCTTCTCGATGAGCTGTTCTTGGTCTTGGTCTTCGTCTTCGTCGGTGTTGCCGGAGGGGACCGTGAAGCGCGGCGTGCGGTAGACTACGTATTGGATTACTGTACGGTCTGAGCCTAGTGCTTCGAGTGCTGATACTGATTCGCGCGGTGGGATGGCCGGCTGTGGGGAGTCGTCATGGAAAGATCGCTGCTGTTGAACGCGGCAGGGAGGGAGATATGTCAAAGCTCGTGGCTGGGGATGGCTCAAGGATGGCTGAGAAAAGGGGGGAGGGCCAGGTGGGGCCATGACTTGGTCCAAAAGTTGGTTGTACTGGGATTGACGGGGCGTGGGCTTGGGTTGGAAGATGTTCCTCGACTGGCCTAGATTGCTGATTTGGCGATTCCGTCCCCTTGCCGGTCCTAAGGGGATGTAAGGTTGGTCTATCTGGCGGTTGGCCACGGGTGCTGGACGCACTTGAGGTGGACGGCTAGCCGGTTGAGGGGACGCAAGAGGTTCGCTTCTTTGGCTTGCTACGCGGGGGTCATTCTGTTCCAGGTTCCTGTTACCGCCGTTTGGCAGACCCGAGACAAATTGGGCGCTTCGTTTTTCGGGTATCTTAGATGCACAAGCCCGGAACAATTGGACATCGTCTTCCTGGTTGGTGGCGGGCAAGTTAGCGCCGGTGGCCTGAGCCTGTCGATTCTTCATGGCGTTGATGGGCTCTTTCTTTTGGCCGGCCGTGTTAATATCGCTGCGTTGGCTAAGTTGGGTATGTAGGGAGCTTTGCTGGCTCCTCTGGGCTAAACCTTGGGGTAGCGGGGGACGTGGTTGTTGTTGGCTGGGCTGGTGGCGGGGTGTTGGCAATGGTTGTTGACTGCTTGTTTTCTGTCCCTGATCCTGACCCTTAGGTTTTGCACCCTCATCCCGGCGGTGTCGGTGTTGATGCCGCGACGACCCCTTACTTCGGTGTGAGGCTGACGAGCGGGAGACTGAGGTGCCACCATCTTTCCGCAAACGTCTGGCCTTCTGCCTTTCCAAAGACGAGCGCTGGGACTTGTGCCGCTTCTCGCGGCCGTGGTCATCGAGATGGCGTCTTTTGGCTTTTCGGCTCGAGGGGGCGAGATAGTTATCCGGGCTGTTCGGGTTGTCTGGGATCCCAGTAAGGTCGATAACCTCCGGCGAGGGAATCTTGCGCGTGTGTTTTGATGTTTTATCAGGCTCTTTGTGAAGGCTACCGATGGTGTTTGGTCTGACGGCTTTTGGACTATCTCGTTTCTTACCGGAGTAGTCGTACCTTACGAGGAAGTTACTCCTTCTAAGACCGAATGGTTCCTGTGAAATGGTCGCCGGTTTTGCCCCGTTGTTTCCCAAGCTGTTGGGGAGCGGAAGCTCCGCCGGCGGTCTGTTCCCGGCCCGATTGGGTGATGTATCGGCAGCGTGAGTCCTTTGTGGAATAGATAAGAATGGTTTTACAACCCCCTGTGACGGAACAACGCTCCTGGTCTTGTGGCGGCGAATGGCTACGAGAAAATCGCCCTCCTCGTCTAAAGTCATGTCGTTAACTAGTGTGGGGGCCTGAGAGTCTTTCAAAAGGACCGTCTCTGCTGTGGTGTCTGAGGCCGTCAGTGTCGAGCTCCAGCTTGCTTATAAGTCGAGTTACGAACCGGTTGAAACTTGGGCTGGTGTTTTAACCCTGCTGGCCTCACTCCCTGCTATGTCCGGGATGGGAACTTCTGGGACTGTCTCTTGAGGGTTTGCCAAAACAGCTGGGTCCGCATCTTGTTGGGGCAAGGCTTCAGCTGTCGTCGAGGATCCAGATTCTAAAGACCCTGAGTCAGCAGTGACACCCGCGAAGTTCCAACCTTGGGAAAAGGCGAGGCCGGTCACCGTGTGGGTGCGGTTGTTCATGGTTGGAATGCGGTTGTTCAAGAAAGCTGCTAATGGTTGCGGAGGCATGTCCTCCCCTAGGTTAGGAGTCACTTGTTCTGCGAGCGAACATTTAGTGTGCCAGTCGGAAACCGGGGCTATGAGTGCAGGTTCTGCGAGATTAGTCAGTAGTAAGAAACGATGGAGTAACGTAAGAAAATAGGATGGAAAAGAAGAGGGAAGAGGAAGTGGAAGAAAGGAAGAGAGATGGTATTGATTCAAGGTTGGGGATAGGAAGGTAATCCCGAAGACTAGATGGATGGTAGGAATAGTAGCAAGGGGATAGATATCATGCGGCATGAAATATTATTATTATTCATACTCCGCTGTGCCCTAGGGCGTGCCGGACCCTCTGCTATTTTTGTGTACAGGAAAACCGTGCCTTCCCGGGCCGGGTGAAAAAAACCCATACCAACTATCAAGGAACGATGCGTTCTGGTGAGTCTGCGTATACAAAGAGAGGAGGCCTCCTGGCCTTCGAACGGGGGCGCTTCAGGCCGCCGCTTCCAGCTCGAGCCTCCTGGCCAAGTTGTACATCGGCAGCTTCCCCGAGTCCATCAGCCAGTCTAGAACTCTCCTCGCGAGCCGTGCAGTCGTGGGATTGATGCCGTGTAGAACAGAGTAAAAGTCCCGTCGTCTCCGAATTCCAGTTCTCTCCCATCTTCTAGTCAACGGTGGGGCCAAACACCACACTACCAGGTGTTCGGCAGTCTCTCGTCCCTTGCCACACTCGCAGGCAGGAGTCAGAACCTCCGGGACTCCTCGTGTAAACAAGAAGTCCCGTAAGCCTATTGCTCCCGTCCGGATTTGAATCAGCAGTGAGCTCTTCGCCTTGCTGAGACCGTCGTGGCTCCTTAGGGTTCCGTTCCGGAATAGCGTCTCCTGCTGATGGTCAAAGTCGTCCGCCAGTCTGGTGATCGCTCTGCCGTCCCGTTCCTTTAACCACCTCGCTCTCCAAGCCTCTTCTACTACCCTGTTCGTATCAACGATTCCCCCCGTCCAGCGCATGACCGTGCCCGCGGCTCTCTCCACCGCCGTAGGCCCTTGAGGTCCCAAGGTTCGCGGTCGGCCCCTGTTGCCCCTCCTCGAGCTAAGTCTCTCCTGTATCTTGCGGCAGGCGGTGAGGACAACGCTCCTCGCCGTCTTCTTGCCGCCTTGACCGTCGTCCAGATCGGGTTGTTGGAGTCGGTTTTCGAAATCTGCAAGCCGTTTGTTTAGGTACAAGTCCAGTGGTGGTACCCATGTCTCTGTCTCGAGGTTACGGATGGGGGTAGACTCAAAGGCTCCCGCCACAATCCGCAAGCCCTTGTTCTGGGCCTTCCCGAGGGCCTTAGTGATGCCTTTCTTTACCGGCTCGCCTCACACATCCGTGGGGATGTGAAACGATGATGCGCCATAGGCCAGCGCCGACCGAATGCACTTTGTGTACACTTCTCGCGCTTTGGCTAGCCCCATTCCCCACGTCTTTGCCACGATCCTCGACAGGGCATAGCTCTGGGCCCTCAGCTTCTTCTCCACCGCCACCAGGTGAGCCTTCCAGTTGAGTTTCCAGTCCAACCAGACTCCCAAGAATCTGGCAGACCCTTCTGGTTCAACGGGGCTAGTGCCTCCCCCTGGGTTGGCAAGGTTTACCTGTTCGGTCCACTGCCGTCGCCCTTTGTTGAAATGGATGAGTTCGCTCTTTTCCGGGGCGAACTTCATCCCCCGGCTGTCCGCCCATCGCATACACGTTTCCCACGCCGCCTCTAGTTGCCGGAAATTGGCCTCGGGGTTTCGACCAAATACCAGGAGGTTGGTGCCATCCGCAAACCCTGTTATAGCCAAGTGAGGGTGCTCGCCTTTTAGCTGCTTGTATAATGAGGAAATATAGAGGATGAAGAGAACAGGGGAAAGGGGTGAGCCTTGGGGGACCCCTGCCCGAATTGCCGTCGGTGCCGCCGTCTTGCCGTCGAAAAGAAGGGTGGCCTCTCGACCGGTCAACCAATCTCTCGGCATGAAATAAAGCTAGCATATAAGGCTGATACGTGAAGCTGTAGAAGTTCTGTAATTGGCTTGTAGCGGAGTGGGCTTCGTTCTCAGCGCACATAAATTAGGAGTGAATGAGAAGGGGGCGGAACTGGGTGGGAAAGGAGAGTTGCAATGTTGGCGCCTTCAAGAGTTACACCCCCACTGGAAACAACGGATCATTGAATTGATAAAAGGAATTGGAAGGTACGGAAATGAAGTCATCTCGTAAGAAGGAATTATCTCGACTTGAAAGAAGTAGAGGTTTAGTTCCGATACTTACCACGCAGATGGAGAGGTTGAAGACACCACACTCACTCGACACAGCAACCCGCGTAACTGACAGCCGATGGTATTAACGACATCCTAGACAAACATAGGGACCCCTACCCACCCTTGGACCCTCACGCCGGGTCATCAGCATACTTGGCCGCATTCTCCTCTTCGAGCTTCTTCCACTGCTCCTTGCCCTTCTCCGTAGTGGCATCGATAATCTCCTCCTCGAGGCTCAAGATACCCGCCTAGCCAACCGTTAGAATGTATAACTCACGGGAAACAACGCTTGAAAAAAAATAAACCAAGAAGATTTACTCACCTCGCCCAATTTCCCCACCACATCCTCCGCCTCCTCCACCTTCATCTCCCCCAGCACCTTATTCACCTCCTCCAACTTCCCCGTCTCCAACGCCCTCTTCATATCCGCCGTAAACCCCTCAAAGATCTCCCTCCCCCTTTTAGACTCCTCATCCGCAGCCTCGGCATCGGGAATCCGAATATTGATAACCGTCCCCGGTTCGACGGCATGCAGCTGGATCTGTTCGACCCCCTCGCCCTTCCCCTCCGCCTCGTCCTTCGCACGCTGCATCACGATCTCGCGGGTGCGGGTGCGGATACGGGCGTACGTGTCCTGGACGTCCTTGTGGAACACCTCCTGGGCCTGGTGGCCTGGCGTGGCGATGCGCTTGAAGAAGAGGGCGACGCCGTCGCGGCCCAGCGAGCGGCAGTACTGCAGCAGCAGCGCCTGGTGCACGCAGTTGCGCGCGTAGTCGGACCGGTTTTCCAGCTGCGCGTCGAAGGCGAGGATCAGCAGGCCATCGGTTTCTTTCTCGGTGAGGATCTCGGGGTGCTCTGAGAGGAAGGCTAGCGACTCGCGGTACTGGGTGGACTTGATGAGGGCGAACTTGTGGGCGAGCGGGGAGGCCGTGATTTCTTCGTCGTCGTCGGCGGTGGTGGTGGAGGTAGATGCCGCGGGGAGGGAGTTAGTGTTGCTGAAGTTCGGGTTGAGGAGTTCGATTTTGGAGGAGTCCTTGGCTCCCGAGCCGGAGGTGGAGGAGGTGGACTTGTTGACATGGGAGCTGTTGAAACCCGTGTGGATCCCTTCGCTGGTGATCTTGCTCGACTCCTCCTTTTCGAGCTCGGCGAGCTTCGTGATCAGCTCGCTCTGCAGATCAGTGACCTTCTGTAGGTGTTCCCCAATCTCGGCCACCATCCCGTCGTATCTTTCTTCCTGGCTGACCTTCTTCTCGTCGAGGGCCTTATTTACCTGATCCAGAAGCGTCGCCATCATCTTGGTGTATGAGGGCAGCTGCTCCTCGGCGTTGTGGACGGACTCTGGGCGCGGCGGGGGCTGGTCGTCCTTGGGGTCCAGTCCGGCCGCCGACTCCATGACGGCGCGAAAGGCCACCTCCCCCGGGTTTCCTGACTTCGCATCCGAGGCATGAGCCTTTAGTGATGCAAGGAGGGACGAGATGCGCTTGATGAGGCTGTCGTTGATGATGCGTTCGTATTTGAGGGTCTCGATCTGACGCTTCCGTTGCTGGCGTTCCATGTGGATCTGGCTCTGTTTCGCGCGGATAAAGGACCGCTTGTCGACATTGGGATGCACTTCGATGTCCGAGTCATCGCTGAGCTCGAGGGCATCCTGAATAGGAGCTAGTTAGCTGAATGTCTGTTGATGGATAGAAGACCGAGAGGGGAGCTTCTGCGGGGCATCCTTGTCTGCTCTTCTTACCCATTTGCTGTAGTCAACCGGCATGGTGCTCGTCAGCGGTATCTCCGCGATGTTCGATATCTATGAGTCGGTTCGTGGAAGAGTATCTATGATAAAGTTTACAGACTTCAGGCGATGTTTGTTTCCATGTAATGTCCATGTCGTGTTGGTGTTGGTCCTCCGAACAATCGCCGTGAATGGTGGGGTAGCTTCTAGAATCACATCGCAAGTCAAGTGGGGCTCAAGACGTCAGTCAACCCAAACAGAGCTTCAGGGGTCACGGAGGGGCAACATAGATGTAACACACCCATGTCCTCTCAGCCTTGTGCATACATGTACGAATACTTCGCTGGAAAACTAGCTAGGTAGGCACTAGACACCCCAGCTCCTCAGGTATAATCATCCAAATCAAAGCAACAACAAGCCGTGCCAACTCATACCGAGATACACACACGCTCCGCTCCGAGTAACAAATACAGGCTAGACCCCAGGTGTCCCACCTGGAAGAGCAAACCGGCCCAACGCCTCCGCGAACAATACTTGCAATTAATACCACGAATCCATCCCCGATCCAGTTCCAAACCCCCACAGCAACAGGACTCGCAGAAACAGCTCGCAGTAACCAACTACTGCGCCCTTGTGACCCTCACTTCTTCTGCCCATCGACAAAGTTGAGCGCCTCCTCCGTCGGTACACAATCAATGGTGCTCGTTTTGTTATGGAACGTGACGCCATAGCATTTGTCTGCCACAAGAACAATCTCCGGCCGGAACGTCGTGCAGATGAACTGCGTCTTCTGCTCCTCCGAGATGCTCATCAGTAAGCTGGCTACTGCCGTTCGGTACTGCGCGTCCAGGTTGGCGTCGACCTCGTCGAAGATGACGAAGGGACTAGACTCGGCAGCCTGGAGGGCAAAGATCAGGCAGAGGGCGCATAAACCTAGGTGACGTGGTTAGCAACATGATACTATCTTCTGGACGGGGAGGAGAAGGGGAGTGGATGCTTACTCTTTTGTCCACCACTCAGCTGCTGGATTTTCTGCTGTTCGTCCATAACTTTGGAGTTGAACGAGACCGAGATGCCCACGCCCGTATAACTCTCGACACCTGTCGGCTCCTCGTCTGATTCCTCGGCGTTGCCCTTCTTGTTCGCCCGATCCGCCTTGCGCTGGATCACGAGGCGGCCGTGGCCTGCTGGGACTAGTTTCTCAAAGATGGTGGCAAATTCCCGTGAGACTTGCTTGAACGTGCGCTCGATTGCCTCGTCCTTCTCCTGGTCAAGATGTTCAATTAGTGTCTCAATTGACATCTGAGACGTGTCGAGCTCCTTCCGCCGCTTGAGGAGTTGGTCACGCTGCGTGGTGAAGCTGTTGTATTGATCGAACGCCTTCTTGTTGATGTGCTTGTACTTCTTGAGCGCCTCGTTGACCTTACGCAACCTTGACTCAATCTGGTGCTGTTAGTGGGCCTTCTGAGAACCCGCGTGGACAAAATGCTTACCTGTTCTGGCTTCATCTTCTCGTACTTGCCAAACGCCTCTTCTGGTAGAATACCCAGATCCCGGATGTTTTTGGCGTACTCGGCGGCCTGGCTGACCAGGCGGGCTCTCGTCTGGATGTTCTTCTCCATCCTCTTCTGGTGCTGGTCGATCCGCTTTTGCAACTCTTGCAGCTCCTGCTCCTTCTGGGACTTCTGAGCCTCCAGCTTGGCGAGTTCGCCGCCCACCTTCTCCGTCCGTTGCTCGTTCTCCTCCAACTGTTGTTCGACTTCGGCCATGGCCCGTTGGGTTTTCACAAGCTCCCTTTGGGCATCCTTAAAGCTCTCGCTGCCGCCAGTCGTCGAGTTCTCAAAAGCTTGACTTCGCAGCTGGTCTTCCTGCGGCCGGAGATGGCTTTGCAGTTCTGTCTCGAGGAACTTTTTACGGCTTTCCAGCTCGAATCGCTTCTTGCTGACTTCCTTCAACTCTCTCTGCAACCGATGTACTTCGAGCGTGAATTCCTCCAGCTGCCGCTCCTCGTTTGCCGACAGAGCCTTCTTAAAGTCTTGGGAAATCTCGGCCTGGTATGTCGAGATAGAGTCGTCCAAGTCTTTGAGGTTCTTCTCTACTTGAGCCTGCCGCTCGACAGCCGCCTCTAGGTGGGCTCGCTCGCGTTCCAGCTGGGCGTTTTTCGTCCGCAATTCCATCTTGAGCGGCTCAAACCCAAACTCAAACTGGCGCATTTGCTGCTCGAGCTTGTGCTCCTCGCCACTCGCGCTCGTCACCTTCTGATCGATGACCTCGATTTCCTTACGGATCTTGTCGATGTCCGCCAACTGTTGTTCATACAGGTCTCGCATCTGGCCAACTCGTCGTACGGCATCAAGGCGCGACCTCCTAGCGTCGACGTAACCACCAGTCATTGCACCTCTCTTATTCGTCGTGTCACCTTCTGGCGTAATGGCGTCCAGGCCGTGGGACCGGGCGTATTGGGACGCGACCGCGAGGTTTGGGCAGACGATGGTGCGCCCGAAAACCTGCTGAAAAGCTTTCTCATATTCCGGCTCATACTCGATCTTGCTGATGAGTGGTTGCGCGTCCGACGCCCTGGGCATCTTAACCTGCCGGGGCCGTAGTTGCTCCAGTGGCATGAACGTCAGCCGCCCGCCGTAAGACTTGTAGAGATGGTCCGAGAGCATCGTGGCTGTCCTGTCGTTGTCGACGACATAATGGAACAGGCTATTCCCCGCCACTTGCTCTACTGGCAGCTTGTATGCCTCGACTGGTACGCTCATGAGCTCTGCCAAAGTCCCGTAGGCCCCGGGAATGTCCCTCTCCCGCTTCAACCGCCTGATGGAAGCAAGGCCCTTGGCAGTGGCGGAGTCCATCGAGTGTGAAAGCGTGGACTCTGCTTGGTCCCTCTCTGACCGCGTGTTGGAAAGAAGCGAGCCAAGCTTGTCCTCCTCACGCCGAAGCCTCTTGCGCTCCTCGTGCAGCTGCTCCCTGGCCTCCTGAGCCTTGGTTAGCTTCTCTGCAAGCGTGCCTCGGTTTCCGCCGTAGCCCTCAATATTTTGGCGGATATCTTGGATGGCCTTCTCCAGCTGTGCGATGGACGCCTCTACCGACTTCACCTGCTCACCCGCATCCATCGCGTTGGCCTTTTGCACGCCCAGAGACGTCGTAGCGTCATCGATCTCCTGCTTGAGGTAGTTATCACGCTCTGCTTTCGTCTTGAACTGGGAGCTGCGCGTCTGCTTGGTGAGCAAACGGTTCTTCCCCGATACTGCCTCGTCCCGTCGCAGTCGGATCTGGGCTTCCTCGTTCTTCCGCTCCTCGTATTCGGGCGTGATCTTGGACAAGTCAGTCTCAGCGCCCTTAATCTTCTGCCTCACGTCTTGTAGCTCTGCTTCCTGCTTCTGCAGCGCTTGTTCCCGTGCGTGCCTGTTTTCGTCCAGGTGCTTCGCTTTCAGCTCGGCCTTTGCTCGCGACCGAGCGGCATCTTTACGATCATCGTCGAGTTGTTGCCGTTCCATAGCCAGCAAATCCAAGTTCTGCCTCAACTCGTGCGAGGTCTGGTCCAAGCTGCTGATTTCCTTTTCCGTTTTCTGGAGCTGTGTACGGTCCTTGGTCGAAGCTCCGGCACCTCCCTGTCTCGCTTCCTCGAGCTGCTCTAGGGTATCGGCATTGGTCGCCTGCAGACGGTGCCAGTGCGCATACTCGAGACACCTGCGCTCCCTGTCTTTGTCCTGGAAGTCGCGGAGCTCGTCCTTCTCCTCCTCGAGCTCGCTTAGTCGCTCCTTGATGTACACCAGGGTCTCGTCGATCTTCTCGCGTTTGCTGTTGGTCTCAGCCATGATCTTGAGTGATTGTATCCTCCGGTCGTCGTATGTGTTTGTGCCCGCGATCTCCTTCAGCAGGTTAAGTCTCTCGGATTCCTTCATGTTGGTAATGGCGGCAATGCGTCCCTGGGGTACGATGTAAAATGGATTCTCCTTGGCAAACCCGGCAGTTTCAAGGATTTTGAGAACATCAGCGCGGGTCTGAACCTTCCTATCTACTGAATATTCGTCCTTTTTGAGACCAATTGTCCGGCGGATCACGACCTCGTCGCCCGGCTCGCTGAAGCGTTTGTCCTGGTTGTCGAAGATAATCTCGACGTAGGCGGACATGACGGCAGACCCTGATCCTTCGTGGAGAAGAGCCTGCCGCTCCTCGCGGCTCATGTTGGTGTAGGCATCGCTGAGCACGAATCTGATGGCAGCGAAAAAGTTACTCTTGCCGGACCCGTTACGCCCGACGATAACATTGGTTCCAGGGGAGAAAGGCTCTATAACTGTCTGATCTTTGTAACTATGTCATGGAAAGCGCTGTTAGCAAAACCCGAGACATGGACGCTCTGGAAACCTCTTAGGTGCGAGGTAGGCTCGGTGGGTCTCGGCGTACCTTTTGAAGCCCTGGATGATAATCTGCTTGATGTGCATCTTTGCGACAACGCTGTCAATTCGACAGCAGAGTCAAAAAATCCAGAGTGTTGCGACCAGAATTATTCAGTCTGTATGAGCATCGATATTTGGGCGGAGTTTGTCGGGATCGGTCAAATGGGGTTGCTGCCGTCTGCATCCTCAGATCGCTGTCTCAAAATCGCGGGTTGGCGATTGTGGGGGGACCTGCCACAACGCGTCTCGTCGCGCCATCCACAGTTTGCCGAAGCTTGGACCATTCTCCCAGCATTCCACGTGATCCGAGTTATCGCCAATTAAGCCGGGCGATCGATGAATGCTAAACGAACCGTGCATTTCGCCCACTGTGGAAACTGTCATCCTTTCGTTCGGATGTCCCAGTTTCGGACCGTCTGATAGTTGGGAAAGTAAAAGGAGAAAACCATCAGACAAACCCTAGAGGTGTGCTATCTCGAGCGAGCAAACTGTTTCGTTTCGGTAGCTTCATCGTCTGCAACGTTGTGATTATTTTAGGTTGGGATCGGAGGAGCACAGTCATTTCATCCAGATCTCGCACTTCCTGCCCTTGCATGCATCATCGGCCGAATCCAGACCGGCATGTTCCAGCGCTCCAGACGATCAGGTATCAAATTATGCATCTGCCCTCCAGGCAATTAATTACCCTTCGTGTCGATGGGTTCATCTTTTGTACTCCCCACAGCTTAAGTTGACGGTCCGTTCCGGTTGGTAACAAGGAGCTGCGACGATGAGGATGGCCAGCCAGCTTCAAATGGACAAACCACCAGCTGTCCTAAATTGGGTGGGTTGGTGATGCCATAGCCACAGTACACAGATCTCTTTGTTGGTGGGGCTGCTTCTTGAACCCTCTGATTTACATAGGTATGTATGCAATTATCGAGTTCAGACACAAGGAAACAGCGCAGGAAAAGGCTCGGGTTCTGGATGAGGTTGCAGGCAGAGCAGAGTTGGACACGTTCCAAGTTGGCGGGGCTTTGGGAATGTGGCGGGATGTGTGGTGCTCAGTTTAGAGTACAAGGGCCGCACGGGCTTGCTGCGGACTGGCGGGGAAAAAGGGGAAACCGTGAAGAAAAGACAGATTGGGCTTCTCACCCCTCCTCAGCTTTGATGGTGCAGCAGCTTTGATGATGCAGAGAGAATGAGTGGATTGTTGGTGTGCGGGACGCGCTTTCCATCTCTTTTGTTCGTTGATAAATTCTGAGACCGGGGGGAAGGGGGCACGGGACTTGGGGGTGGGCGGCGCATGGACAGGGGTGTAAGAATGGCGCTAAAATGCGCAAGGCCCCGGGAGGAGCGTTGGGAACGCCTCTGTCTATAAATTTAAACCAATATTTCTTTATAGACGGGCGCCTGCCCTCCACCCGATCCTCCCACCGCACTCGCTTGCCCTGCGCGCACCCAGATTCCCATCACCCCACCCACAAACCGGTCTCACCCGGCCGCCAGACCTCACCTCACCGCGCTGCCACCTCGGCCGCCTGTAAACCTGGCTTGACCCACCTTTTTACTTGCCTTCCCTGGTATGTACTTTTTTATTCACTCTCTCAAACGACATCTTCGACAGCCCTATGCATCGCTACAAATTTTGCATGGCCATCAGAGCCTTGTTTCTAACTAAGACTCTATCATAGTGCGCAAGGGATTAATTATTTGAACGACCCTCCGACCCTCTAATCACCTCTCTACAACACCTCTTCGGGCCAGGTACAGGTGAGTGTTGCATTTCATCTTTCAGCCCGACCCATCAGCTGTCGCCAGCCGGGACCACCCAGCCCCCAGCACCGAACCCCTCGTCCGCTTTCGGGTTGATTACCTTTCGCTCTGTCTGGATCGGTATTGCGAGCACCATTTGAGTGGGCTTCGCTGTTGCATTGCAAGCAAACCACCAGCCATGGACCCCACATGCACTGTTCTACGATGCGCCAATCACAATCATGCGATGGGGCGATGGGGGGCTGTCAACACCTGATCTCATCCATCCAGGCTCGCTCAATTCATACAGCACAGCACACCATACTCAAGACAAATTGCAGGACGCAGCTAATCAGGTGTAGTGCCATGGTCTTCACTGCCTAGATATTATTCTGGGATTCGTTGACATGAAACAAGGATGGCCTCTCGGTGAGTAACGACCTGTTGACCCCATTTCGGCTCATGTACTAACATGACATTTGTACTAGGCTTGACCGACTCGTTACGTAAGTTGTGTACCTTAGTGGCTGAGAGCATCGCTACCTGCGCTGTTCCATGCAGTGTTGTCTGCACTGTTACTGTTCTCAAAACAAACTAACACCATCTCAGCATCCTCGAAACCGGCAGCACCCGACTAATTCGGGACACCGCTGTCAACCAGCTTGCTGACTGGCAAAAACAACACCCCGATGAGCTCTTCAACCTTTTAACTCGGGTTGTCCCTTACCTCCGGCACAAGGATTGGGAAACCAGAAGCACCGCCGCCAAGGCGATAGGCAAAATCATTGAAAACGCCCCCCTTTATGACCCCAATGCGGACGACGCGTTCCCCCCAGGGGAGGACGCAAAAGCGGAGAACGGATTCGTCAAGAAGGAAGAGCAAAGGGACTTCATTCTCGACCAGGAGGAATATTTTACCCTTGGCACCCTTGACATCTCCGCCATCCTCAAATACGGCCGGCCGCTGCTCCGTGGCGGCACAGTGGACCTCGCGCTCGCCGCCCTAGATCCGCAGAAGCGGTTGGCTCATCAACAAAAAACACTCAACGGCCGCCTTGGGCTTCTTGGCCGGGTATTCGAGGATGACGAGCTGCCCGTGATCGCAGAGCCTGCAACCAGCCCTGAAGTGTTGCACGACGCCACAGGCAACACGAACGGCTTTGGGCGGCCAGATACCCTAGTCAACGAGCTCCAGGGCCAAATCCAGGACGAAGCGAAGTTGAGCACCCGGCAACTAAATGTCCTCAAGAGGAAACGCAAGCGGGAGGCTCAGAAGGCCGCCCAAGGGAAAAGTGGGTTTGGCGACCTCAGCCTCCGGCGGACGACGACCGCGGGATCTGACGGATTCGACGACACTGCCGTACCCGATGCTGACCCGAAGAAGAACGGCAAGATGTCGGACTACTTCAGCCTCGATCGGCCTAGCGACGTGGATGAAGACTCCAAGGTGGTGTCCGAATTTAAAGGCCCAATTCTTCCCATCAAATCGGAGCTGGAGGTGGACCAAGACATGGAGGGCGCCGAATGGCCATACGAGCGGCTGTGCGAATTCCTGAAGATTGATTTGTTCGACGCCCAGTGGGAAACACGCCATGGTGCCGCCATGGGTCTACGGGAAATCATTCGGGTTCACGGGGCCGGCGCCGGGCGGCGCCGTAACAAATCGCGCAAGGGCAACACGGAGCTCAACCGTCAGTGGTTGGATGACCTGGCCTGCCGCCTCTGCTGTGTGCTCATGCTCGACAAGTTTACCGACTACAGCTCCGACACGTCGGTAGCCCCGATTCGAGAGACAGTTGGCCAGACCCTTGGATCAGTTCTCCGCCACATTTCTGCGCAGTCAGTTTACGCAATCTACCGATTATTATATCAAATGGTGATGCAAGAAGAGCTACAGCTGGAACAGAACGTCTGGGCCGTCTGCCACGGAGGCATGGTGGGCCTGAGATATGTTGTTGCCGTGCGTAAGGACCTTCTGCTCCAAGACGGGGACATGATCGACGGCGTCATCCGCTCTGTCATGAAAGGTCTTGGCGATATCGATGACGACGTCCGTTCAGTCAGCGCTGCCACCTTGATCCCAATGGCTAAGGAGTTTGTGACGATGCGGCGTGGAGCACTCGACGGCCTCATCAACATCGTCTGGGAAAGTCTCTCGAATCTGGGCGATGACTTGAGCGCCTCAACTGGCAAGATCATGGACTTGCTTGCGAACCTCTGCAGCTTTCCCGAGGTCTTGGAAACCATGAAACTCTCGGCTTCGCAGGATGAGGAGCGATCTTTTACTCTCCTCGTTCCCCGGCTTTACCCATTCTTGCGGCACACCATCACGTCGGTGCGACTTGCCGTGTTGAAGGCCTTGATGACTTTTGCAAACCTTGGCGGCGAGACGTCTCAAGGTTGGCTCAACGGGAGGATATTGCGTCTTATATTCCAGAATATCCTGGTCGAGAGAGATCAAGACACGCTCAACATGTCTCTGGAGTTATGGGCTGCGCTTGTCCGTAATCTTGCTCAGGACCCAACCATTCTCGCCGACGAATTCGAGGCACACGTGGAGCCCCTCATGCAGTTGACGCTCCATCCCATCGGCGTCCCGCGGCATCCCATCCCCATGAACGGAACCCTTTTCCTAAAGCCATCAGGCGGAACATACTCTTTGCCTAGCCTTGTCCCCGTCGCAAGCAGGCGGGCATCGCCCCCTGAAGGCGAGAGAGCCACGAAACGGCGCAGAAAATCTACCAAGGTGGACGACGTCCCCGCGAGCACGCAGAGCCACGACGTTGATGGCCACATGATGCAAGGCGATGTTGACCTGGTGGGTATGGATGTCCTAGTCCGCTCCCGTGTCTCCGCCGCCAAGGCCATGGGCCTTATCATGTCCTTCATCCCGACCCCTAACCTGGGTTTGTATGACAACAACGTCCTGCAAGGCCTTGTTTCTCCGTTCGCGTCGACTCAGCTTTCGGCCTCCATGGTTATTGGCGAGTACGCGAATAATTGCTCAGCGAGTAGTGCAGCCGCACGGTTTGTGGATCCCCTGCAGAAGATGATCGACCAGGAGCGGCCATCTCATTATCGGGATTTGGTGAGCTATGTCCACAGGGTACGCTCGCAGTCGCAACAGCTCATCAACCTCTTCCGTGATCACGGCAAAATCTCTCTCAACAAGCTCCCGACGCTTGCTGTTGTGGTTCAAGGCGAGCCTGAGGCAGGTCCAGGCGCATTCTCCGTCGCAAACGCGGAGAAGGTCGTGGCCGATGATTTTGACAAACTCAAAAAGGCCATGGCGCCTGGACAGCGGCTGATAGCGCTTCCTCAACTCAACGAGGCTCGCGACATAACTATCTCTGCGATTGAGGAGGCAAAGGCGGCCAAGGAAGCTCGTGATGCCCGCATCCGCGCCGCGGCCGCTTGCGCCTTGGTCGCTATGAAGATTCTGCCCAAGAAACCTAGTCCCCTCATCAAGTCCATCATGGACAGCATCAAGACGGAGGAGAATCAAGAGCTGCAGGGCCGCTCCGCCGCGACAATTGCGCGCCTTGTGCAGCTATTTACCGAGTCGGGCCGCCGCGGCCCAGCCGACAAGGTAGTTGCGAATTTGGTCAAGTTCTCCTGCGTCGAGGTTGCGGAAACCCCCGAGTTTCCCGAACCACGCTCTTAAGACGAACGTTATCCTCTCGATGCAAAAAGAAGAGGACCGTGTCGACCACCCCGATGCAGCCAAGTTTGCGCGAGAAGCAAAAGGCCCGCCCGCATCACCCGCCGTGGCGCCAAGGAAGCGCTGGAGATACTCTCGCAGACGTTTGGCTCTGATCTCCTGACCCGCGTCCCGAGCCTGCAGGCCTTTATGGAGGAGCCTCTCGTAAGAGCCTTCTCCGGTGAACTGCCGCCGGAGGCCAGGAATCCGGAGCACACCTTTGGCCAAGAGATCGTCGATGCCATGTCTGTGATCCGGACGATGGCCCCGACATTGCACTCAGCCCTCCATCCTTTCGTCATGCGGCAGATGCATTTGGTGATCAAGGCCCTGCAATCCGACTTGTCCGTCTTCCGTTACATGGCGGCCAAATGCGTGGCGACTATCTGCAGCGTTATCACGGTCGAGGGCATGACGGCGTTGGTGGAAAAGGTTTTGCCGACGATCAGCAACCCCGTGGATCTCAACTTCCGCCAGGGCGCGATCGAGGCCATCTACCACCTTATCGCCGTCATGGGCGATGCCATCCTGCCCTACGTCATCTTCCTCATCGTGCCCGTGCTGGGTCGGATGAGCGACTCGGACAACGAGATCCGCCTGATTGCCACTACCTCGTTCGCGACCCTAGTGAAGCTGGTTCCGCTCGAAAACCGGTATACCCGACCCCCCTGGCCTGTCGGAGGCGCTCATGTGGGTGGATTCCGCGACCGGGAGCGCACCGTTCTATCGCCCAATCTGTTGGATCCCAACAAGTTTGAGCCCTTCCAAAAATCCCCTGTGGCCATCAAGGCCGAACTTCGCTTCTTACCAACCAAGAGGGTGGTCAACTGGCTTCACTTTCTCAACAAGTACCACCTGCACGGTATCCTTTGCGACGACATGGGCCTCGGCAAGACTCTGCAGACCATCAGCATGGTAGCCAGCGACCACCATCAGCGCGCCGAGGAGTTCGCCAGGACGGGAGCGCCTGACGTCAGGAGGCTCCCCTCTCTAGTTGTCTGCCCACCCACACTCTCCGGGCATTGGCAGCAGGAGATCAAAGCGTACGCCCCGTTCTTGAGCGTCACAGCTTATGTCGGTCCCCCAGCCGAGCGCAAGGCCATGAAGGACAGGCTAGACAAGACCGACATTGTGATCACCTCTTACGACGTATGCCGGAACGATATCGACGCTATTGAGAAGTACAACTGGAACTACGTTGTCCTCGACGAAGGCCACTTGATCAAGAACCCGAAGGCAAAAATCACGATGGCGGTCAAGAGACTGGCTAGCAACCACCGGCTCATCTTGACGTGGCACTCCGATCCAGAACAACGTCCTGGAGCTCTGGTCTCTCTTTGACTTCTTGATGCCAGGCTTCTTGGGCGCGGAGAAGGTCTTCCTAGACCGGTTTGCGAAACCGATCGCGAACAGTCGTCACAGCAAGTCTTCGTCGAAGGAACAGGAAGCAGGCGCGCTCGCCATCGAGGCGCTTCACAAACAGGTGTTACCTTTCCTCCTGCGGCGTCTCAAGGAGGAGGTGCTCAACGATCTGCCGCCCAAGATCCTCCAGAATTACTACTGCGACCTCAGCGACCTGCAGCTGAAGCTGTTTGAGGACTTCACCAAGAGAGAAGGCCAGAAACTCTCAGAGCAGGCCGGCAAGGAAGACAAGGAAGCCAAGCAGCACATCTTCCAGGCGCTGCAGTACATGCGCAAACTCTGCAACTCGCCGGCGCTCGTTATGAAGCCGGGCCACAGATCCTACGAAGATACGCAAAGGTTCTTGGCCAAGCAAAACACGAGCCTCGAGGACCCGGCGCACGCGCCCAAGCTGACGGCGCTGCGGGATCTTCTCGTCGACTGCGGCATTGGTACGGAGGGGCAGGATTCATCGGACCCACTGTACACGCCCATCAAGCCGCACCGGGCTCTCATCTTCTGCCAAATGAAAGAAATGCTCGACATGGTCCAGAACACGGTTCTGCAGAAGATGCTTCCGACAACGCAATACCTCCGGCTGGACGGATCAGTGGAGGCGAACCGGCGGCAAGACATTGTCAACAAGTTCAACAGCGACCCGTCGTATGACGTGCTGCTGCTGACGACGAGTGTGGGCGGCCTGGGGCTGAACCTCACGGGAGCCGACACGGTCATCTTTGTGGAGCACGACTGGAACCCGCAAAAGGACCTGCAAGCTATGGACCGGGCCCATCGTATCGGGCAGAAGAAGGTGGTCAATGTTTACCGGCTGATCACGCGCGGTACACTCGAGGAGAAGATTCTCAGCCTGCAGCGGTTCAAGATCGACGTAGCCAGCACGGTGGTGAACCAGCAGAACGCAGGTCTAGCGACGATGGACACGGATCAGATCCTCGACCTGTTCAACCTCGGCGAGTCGGGACCCAACCTGATAGCGGAGAAGGGCAAGGAGGCTATTGAAGGGCGGGAAGAGGACATGGTGGACATCGAGACGGGCGACGTCCGACAGCCTGGCAAGAAAGCGGCGTGGCTCGAGGGCTTGGGGGAGCTCTGGGATAACACGCAGTACGAGGAGAGCTTTGACCTGGATGGTTTCCTGAAGACCATGCAGTAATTTATCGGCTCGCGTCCATTATTATTTTTTGATCTTTTTTTTTCCAATTTGTTTCAATGCCCTGGAACAAGGGCCACAGGATATTGGGTTGGGGGATCCACGGTATTGGGCGCCGATGGTTCGGGGCTGGACAGGGGGCGTTGTGACAGGCAAAACGGAATTTATGGGCGTGGTTTCGTGGTTGGATTGTATGAGTGTATCTGTACCTGTATTGTAGTTGCTGCTTGCTTGGCCTGCGAGACGTGGATGAGCCACCCCCAGTTTATTCAGGCTCCCCTACAAAGTAGTACATACATACAGATTACTGCCTTGGTTTCATGTTCCCCGCAATCCTGCTGCATAGTAGAATATGTCATAGCGGGTGTGCCTGACAAGCCCTGGGCTATGCAGGCGTGGTGACGTTTTGGAGTGACAGGGTGACCCTGGTTATGACGTCAAACAAGAACCACACCTGATTGAGATGAGGGCAGAGCAAGATGGGCGTGATAATGATAATGATAAAGTCGGCCCAGGGTATAAGTGAAGGTATCGATTAAGCAATTAAATAATCCCGGCGAATGGTTCGATATCAGGAGTCTTTTTACGGGTACTTATGGTCCAAATACAAACCTAACAAGTACTGACACAGTTTACTTACCTGTTAAGGAACTTGAATTCGATACTTGGTAGCAAGTCGGCAAGCTACGAAGCATCACCGAAACAAGCTGATTAAAGTGGCCTCAAATAGAACAGGCCTGGAACCTGGTAAGTGCCTTCTATCCACTGTAATATTTTATGTACAAGAGTACGATTTCCAGTCTTTTTTCAGCCCAGAACTAAATAATCTAGTTTTCTACGGAGCAGCAACCACTTTGGGACTTGGATGACGCGTACGTACACCAGCTTCCTTCACCCCTTGTTTCGCTGTACGATACCCAACAAGACGAGAAAGCAAACAGACCAACTTTTTGTGTTGCGTCTCACTCGTCCCTTCTGGGCCCATTATTCAATCAGTTTGAGAAACAAAACCTCACATTGAACACCAAGCACAGCCATAATCTTGCTTGACCTCACTCGACCTCACTCGACCTCACAATCCCGATTACATATTCGAATGAAATAAGAAACCACAAGCGGCCAGGGAATCCAAGAAGGGGAAAACAAAACAAGAACCAGAAACATGTCTCACCACCAACCCTTCAAATCCCTCGGCCCCCTCTCTTGGAACACCGACATCGCCCCACACGCCACCAGCAACAAGGACAACAACGGCAACATCACCAACCTCTTCACCTCAACCCTCGCCAACGCCCAACTCCTAATCGACTCCATCCCCCCCTCCCCCTCATCACCTACCACAACCACCACCACCACCCCCAAATCCCCCGGCCGTGCCCGCTCCCACACCGACTCTGCCATCTCCCCCCCTTCTACCTCCACCACCACCGCATGCAACAAAGATGGCACCAGCAACAACGAAGCCGACAAGGCGGCGCTGACGAAGCTGAGCCGCGAGTGGAAGGATCTCAAGATGCACCAGGCGAATAGCGGGAATCCGCATGGTATTGCTATGTATAAGATGGGTGCGAAGGATGGGAAGGGGGCGTGGTTTGCGAGGAGGAGCTTGCATCGGGTGGGACCGGGGGGTGTGGGGTTTGAGAGGTGGTGAGTTTTTTCTTCTTCTTTTTTTGTTTTCTCTTCTTTTTGTTCGGGTTCTGGAAGGCGAAGGGGGGTGGTTCCGGTGGCTTGTGGTGGGGTTGGGATTGGGGTATTTGGAAGGAGTGACGATGATTGAACTGATAAACTGACAACAACACAGGGAAGCGGCGCTAAAGGGGGAGATGCAGGTTACCCTGGACCGGGTCGAGGCCGAGCCCCGGAAGGAACCGGGAACCGGGAATGTTCGCGGGATTGGAGCCGAGAGGAGGGTTGAGAGGGTGGAGTTTGAAGGGGGGAAGATGGATGGTGAGTTTGTTTACCCTTCACTCGTTGCGCCGGTTTTAAGTAGGATCATATGAAGGGTGGAGCTAACATTCAAAAGTGTACCACGTCTCGGCCAGGTTTCCAGGCCCGACGACGCCGCGGGATTTCGTCACGGTGATCATGATGCCCAACCCCAACGGAGAAAGGAAAACTGGCGGCAGGGAACGCGCACAGAGACAGTTCATGGTCGTCTCGAGACCCTGCGACCACCCCGACTGCCCTCCCAGGCCGGGCTTCGTCCGCGGGACGTACGAGTCGGTCGAGGTCATCCGCGAGGTGCCCGTCGAGAAACCGATCCGCCGAGTGAGGTCTTCGGTTGACTTTAGCAGGGACGAGGTAGACAGTCCCGCGGTAAGCGGCGAACGCATGAGCAAGGAAGCCGTGTTGCGTGCCGCGAAGCAGGCTGTGGGTGAGGAGGCCGAGTCGGAGGGCGAGGGCCGGACCGTGTCATTTCGTTTATCTGATGACAACGACAGCGATATGGAGATGGCCATAGAGTGGCTGATGGTTACTCGCAGCGACCCCGGCGGCAGTGTGCCGCGGTTCATGGTGGAAAAGGGGACGCCAGGGGGGATCATAAACGATGCCGGGAAGTTCATCAAGTGGCTTTCCTCGGAGTCGATGGAAGAACTTACGAAGCCGCGGCCAACCACGGTAAAAGGGAGAGAGAACGCAACAAAGCCAACTGGGGAATCACCGGTTAACGAAGGACCAGGCCAGCTGCCAGTGAACACCGCAGCCGAGGATCAACTTCCGGATGATGAGGCTGGCTACCAGGAGGGCCCGTCGGCCAGCAGCAGCGGCATCTATGGCATGCTGAGCAGCGCACTGGGCATGGCCACAACTGCGGTTGCCAACAAGGTGGCTGCCTTTACGCCCGCCTCCATAGAAACCGACTCCGAGTTCAGTGACGACGAGAGCGATGTCTCGGATGGCGCCAGCTTCGCCTCGGCTGAGGATGGTTCGGCCACTCAAGTCGACACATCTCTATCCAGCAAAGACGATAACTCCAACAAGGCCGGCACCACTACGGAAGCCGACATCGCCTCCAACCAATCCACCCACTCGCTTCTTTCCGAAACCACCTCGCAAGCGCTCTCACGGGAAGCAACCCCCTCAGCCAAGTTTTCCCAGGCCCAGTCCCAACACGAAAAAGAACTGCGCAAGCTCCAGCAACGCATGCACAAAGCCCAAGAGAAACTCGAGCGTGCCAAAGCCCGACGCCTCGCAAAGGAAAATAACAACAACAACGGCAACGGTACCACCGACCCCGACACAGACTCCACCAACTCCAAACAACAACCGCAACAAGACCAAGAAGACCAAGCCATCACCCGCCTGCACGAGAAACACGCGCGCGAAGTCGCCCGGCAAGAAGAAAAATACCAGCGGGAGCTGCAGCGGCTGGCGGACAAGCGGGCGGGGGAGGAGCGCAAGGCAGCAGAGCGGCGGCGCAAGGCGGCCGAGCGCGCCGAGAAGGGCAACTTGAGCATGGAGCTGGCGCGCGTGCGGGCCGAGCGCGACGTCGCGCGCAAGGAGGTCGAGATGCTGCGCGAGCGCGTCGGCGAGCTGCAGGGGCAGAATACGAGGTTGGTGGCCAGGTTGGGGAGGGAGGGGGTTGGTTTGGAGGGGTTGGGTGAGCTTTTGTGATGTAATATAGAGAGAGAGGAGGGTGCGGACGGGGATGCGGATATGTAGGATGTATCATGAGAGGCGTTGTCGTCCTTCCTTCCTCTCTTCCTCTTCTTCCCATGGCCGCTCTCAACACCACCCATCACCCCGTCGTCCTATGTATGACGTACGGTGTACCATCCATCCCCTTTTCTAACCCCCTCTCCCCCCCCTGCCGCCCAACCAACAAACAGCCCTTCCAAATCGCACCACCACCCGCCCGATAAATAAGCCGCAAAAAGCAGCAACCGCACCTACCAACAACAAAAAGATGAACCATCCCACCCATTCCAAGCTTCCTTCCTATGGACGAGCTGGGAATCGAACCCAGGACCTTTCGCATACCGAGGAAGCATGCTAAGCGAACGCTCTACCAACTGAGCCACACGCCCCAGTGCTGACTAGGACAGGGATGGAGATGGTCCGACGGACGCTCCGCCGTGGAGACTTTTAGAGGTTCATTCACTCAGACTGGGCTGGGTGGTGGGTGTATGTGTGTGATGGTTGGGGTTTGTTGAGTTAGTATCGCGACGGTATACCACAAGCAAGGCATCTCCGCGTTGGCAGCGCGTTCGGGGGTGGGCTAGGTTGATGCGAGTAATGGAGGTTTGGATGAGGTGACTGTCCGCTTCCGCCGCATCTCCTTTCTTGTGTCGTAAGACCTTCTCTTTCATGGAGGGTGGCAATCTAGTAGCCTGCTTGCACGATATGAAGGTTACTACCAACGATGCCCACCTAGAGCCGTTTGTTATGCCTACCTGCATTAGGAAATAATATCCCAAACTTCCCACCCACCGTTTCCGCAATTGGTGGTATGAATGGTAAATAATTCTTTTTCCTTCTTGGTTAGGAGTATTCCTTCTTGGTCGGTAGTGTTCCTTCTCGGTTGGTAGTGTTCCTTCTTGGCTGGTAGTGTTCCTCCTTGGTTGATAATGTACTAATTTTCTCATCTCATCATTTTCTCGTCGTAACCTTGGACCAAGTACTGAGAGCGTTGGGTCGGGGAACTCACGGCACGATGGCGGAGAAACGATCCTGCTTGATGACGACCATCGGTATTGTTCCTCAGCAAGTTTAGATTTGGTTGGGCGGAAGCAATGTCTCCATGGGAGCTGTGAGCGTGGCGCTGATGGACAACAAGGGGGGTGATATGTCGATGTTCGTGCTGTTTGAAAGCGAGATATCAATCCAAGGAAAGGCAGTAACTATGTGAAGGCGCTCTCCCACCGTCTCAACGCCGTCGCCTCCTTTTTTTCTACTAAACCGTTTACTCCCCGTCCAAACTCCCCTTTCTGCCCCCATCCCAACACCGCCACTCCTTTCCCCAAACCCTTAACCACCAGATGAAGTAACAAAGAGACAAGACCAAATCAACGCCGAGAACCCCGGCGCCCACCATCCCCCTTCTTGCCCGCGCTCCCATCAACCACCACGGGCGCCGATGCTTTCTTGAACCGCCCGCCGCTCCCGTCCACGATAACCGGCCGCTCCTCCTTCGTCTTGGTTTGGTTGCCGTCAGCCGCGGACAGCAACGCGGGCACCGTGGTAGGGGTGGTTGAGTACGCAGGCTGCGGCAGCGTATCAGTGGATTGTGAAGGCTGAAACTGAAATTGGGCCTGAGCTTGAGCCTGGGCTTGAGCCTGGGTTTGAGACTGAGCCCGAGCCTGAGACTGATTCTGAGCCTGCGACTGCGGCTGCGACTGTGGCGCCCTCGGCGGCTTTCCGGCATCTGCCTTCGAATTCCATCCCCGACCAGCAAACTTCCCACCACCGCCACCCCCTGTATGCCGCCGACCAGAACGACCGCTGTCAAATCCATCCGGTGAGACGCCCTCAACAACCAAGCGCGCCGATAACCTCCTCGCGCCCATCTTCCGCCCGTCCAGGGCCGCCACGGCCGCGCTGGCAAGCTCCGTCGTGCCGAACGTGATGTATGCGGTGCCCCTAGCCTTGCCGTCCTTGTTGAACGGCAGCTCTAGCTTCTCGATCTGGCCTGGCGTGCCCCCAACCCCCGCGTGCTGGGCAAGGAGGTTCGTGACGACAGCTTCGGAGAGACCCTCTCGTTCCAGGTCGCGGATGATGATTTTACGCTGCTCCACGACGACGGTCGGCCGGGTGTTGTCGTAGCTGGGTATTTGGTCTTGTGGCGGCGACGGTATGGCATCGGCGGGCCAATCGTCTCCGGTCGAATACGCGTGGCTACTGTTATTCACTGCCGGCTGGACAAATCCGGCGTAGCCCGGCCCCCTCGCACTGTAAGTCGTTCCTGATGGATAATACCCAGCAGCGTTGCTGTACTGATACTGAATGGGCCTGGCTGGGGCAGGAGCAGGTGCCGGGCTTGCTATCGCATGGTATGCTGTAGGATGGGGGCCCACCGCTACCTGCGGCATGAGTCCATGGTTTGAGACAGCCACTGGTTGGTACGCCAGGGAGCTGGGTGGTGTGAGAGGCGCGGCCGGGGCGGGTTGGTACCCTCCGGCGGCACTATACGATGAGGAAGTAACATACCCCCATTGTGTATCCGCCATGCTGAACGATGGACTGCCGTTCCCGTGATAACTCAGGTAGGGACTTCCCATCGCTGTGCCTGCGCCCTGAGAGAATGATCCACTAGCGTCGGGAGCTGGATCCCCAGGTTCGCTAACCACCCTCCCATTGTCTCCTCGCATAATTCTCATTGCATGGTAGTCGGTTGGCATGAGCTTGACGACAGTAGCTTGATTCATGTTACGGGCATCCGCTTGGAGGGCGCGATACTCCAGCGTGTTGCCGTCGAGGTATTCTATCACCCACGACTGTCAGGACAAATTCGGCTCGAGGCTTGGAAGTCCACCTAACTGAATGCTTTTTCGAAATTGGCTCGTCCTCTCACTCGAACGAAGCCAGAGGTGGGAGGGTAGACCTCGGCGTGGTCCACCTCGCAAGCCTGGGAAGCGAATGCCTTCAAGTCTCTCCATGTTGTCCGATGAGCGAGCTGTACATGGCCGGTCAGTAAGGCTCAACAGAGAGCTGGCTTGCGTGTTTCACATACGTTGGCAACTAAAATGTAATACAACCCCGTTTCTGGTCCCGGATTCACGGTGAAAGGCTCCAGGCTTCGATGATTATGCTGGTTTCGATGCATCCTGGGCTGTCGTCCGTTGACGGGAAGATGAGTAAAGTTAGGGCCGTGTCGACCGCGATCGTCAGCGCTGCGGCAACAAGGCCAAGTATGATGATACGCCAAATATGCTAGCGCCTGCCAGAGGAGGCCGTCTTGCTTTAGAGGGTATCGGGATAGTGCAAACGGTTACACGCTATCAACAACGGGGCCAGGAGTCCCGACCGGCTGGGCAGAGTTGCTGTTTCGTCGAAGGCTTAATCACAGACATCCGCAAATTATTAGAGAGAAGATTGAGCAAAGTAGTTGCGTTATCGCCACATCCTTGGGCGAGAGAAGGTAGCGCCAATAGCCTCTAGGGCAGGGCGAGGTCATGAAACCGGTCAACAAGGGGAAGGCTGTGCTATGAGGCTGTCGGTAAAATCCCCAGCAGATGCTTGGGAGCTACATCATTAAAGAAAAAGGCCGTATTCTCGGAAAGCAGGCTGCCCTTCTCGGGTAGTCAGCTTGGCCAAAAAGGACTCGGCCGCGGACGGCGGCCATTGTCAGGGATACCAAACAGTTGTGCGTGTCGGGAATTCGGAGGTGGTCCTCGTCTAACGAGCTATCACATTTCATGCCGGGTCCTCGAGTCCCAAAACACAAATAAACGGATTGGGCAGAACCGGTCAGCCCCAATCGTCTAATAGCTGCTGGTCAAAGCTGTGCAATGGCGGCCCATCCCGGGTCCGAGATGCGTCGAACGACACGAAGGAGGACCGAAGACCAGGCATGTCAGTACATCCCAACACCCTAAACCAGACAAGATAATCCGCGGCCCGAGAACAATCTTCTGGCACCCGAGAAGGCCAAAGAGAAGGAGCCTGTTGGTCATGGAGTGGCGTCGATGTCTCCCCGCCCACCCCCCCAGTCAGTCCAATCAGCCGAGTCGGCTTGAGCGCGGGCCCGGCAACACCGACCGGGTTTTTGGTGCCAACAGGGTAGTGTGGGCTTTGCTCAGAACCGACAACCAGAGCAGTACATAATGCAGTTGGCAGTGCCTGGTGTCCGTCATGTGCGATAGACTCGAGGAAACACAAACAAGGGCCGGAGACCCGCACAAGCGCCGCCGAGGGTGCATCAAAGCGGAAGAAATTTTGGCGTGGCGCTCTATAGCAACAAGCCACCATGCCGGCGGCCACTCCAACCCCGTCTTGTAACCAGGCGCGCGCTTTCGCACAAGCGCCCAAGGCACGCTAACAAGATAGATGAGTTCAAAGCAATAAACACTCACCGCTATGCGAGAGACCTGCGGGTTCCCGGCCCATTGTATGTACATACATGTATTCCGAGATGGTGCCGGAGATGTTTGCCTCGCTAGCGAAGTCACACTATGCCAGGAAGGGCGACTTGTGTTCACCCGGAGGAGCTTGAGCTCAAGATTGCGTTCGGCAACCGAGTACGAGCGGGAACGGGCCTTCCATTTCCTGAGCTATCATCTTTCTCGGGGACGAACGGAAGGGAGGTCGAGGGGAAGCTTTCGCCGGGGCCTTGGTGTTGTCGACACTTAACCGAAAATGACCAATCGTATTGTTCGATCTACAAGATCGGGGATCCCGGGAGCGGTGACGTTGGGGTTTCGATTCAACCCCCTGTCCCAAAACGGGAAAAACAAAGAATAAGCAACCGGGTCATGAGCGGGGTTTCGCGCTCATCCTTCTGTTTGACTCGAAGCGCCGAGAACTGCTTGGACTTTTCCCAATGGGACAAGGCTTGCATATGTCGACTTGCATCACAGATCGAGAGACGAGTGAGCTGTAACTTCAACATTCAGCTCAACCGTTTCTCCAAGCCTTGCTCAGTAGGATCACCACCAAGCTCTGGGGCCTGTGGCGCCATGCCGGATTTCGTCCACAACGGTGTCAACGAGGCTCAACATCGTTATCAAACAGAAAGACAGCCCACAGGCTTCTACCGCTTGTAAACAAAGGTGTCCTCCAGCTCGCTAGAGTCATCGTCCTCATCCAAGACGGGGATTTCATCTCTTGCGTCAGCTGCCGGGATCAGGTGGAGGGGGGACTCTTCACGTTCGTTGCGTCCCTCCATTGACAAATTTGGTCCCGAGAACTCGTGGTCGCCCCACGGAGCCGGGCCTTGTGCCGTCTCGCCAAGACATGCAAGCACGTAATGATGGGCGTCCGAGAAGAAAACGGACGGAGAAGTCGACTGCTCAACCCCAAGCCACAGAGCCCGAAGCTTGCCACCTGTCTTGCCGCCAGGTAAGTGGCGGGCGAAGTCAACAGACCGGGGACCTTCCGAGAGGGGATCCCAGATAAAGACCAAGCCGTTGTACTGGTCGCCTTCGCACCTGACTAACAGGGTTTCAGAGATGGTTGGGTGCCACGAAAGACTCGCCACATTTCCATGAAAGAGGAGCACTGCGCGAAGCTCTGCGGCCTGCACGTCCCAGACCCAGACAGTACTGGGGGAGTCGTCCTGCCGCGTGGCAACAAGGGTTGAGGAGGGATCGAACGAAATGGAGGCGCATCCGGAGACAGGCTCTGAGTTGTCCCTCAACGCAGGGGCTGGGGATATGCCCTGGGTCGTTCGCAAAAAGGTGTGGATGGTAGGCCCTGCATGTGATACGGCAATTTGCTCCTGCCAAACCTGCAGCGCCCAGTTAGTCGGGGCCGTCGCTAGCAATGCAACGCCGATAATTCAGGCACTCACCTGGAGGGTATCTTTCGGGACGAGAGTTCTCGGGTGCCGCAATCGCATTGTCTCCGTGACGGAGGTCATGTTGAGGACGCAAACAGACCTGCTGAAATCGCCAACCGCAAGATATCGGGCGTCTCCAGAAAACTCGACCGTCCGGACACCAGCTCCGAGAGCAAAGTCCCGATCCTCCGGAAGGGGATTGGCAGGCCCAGACCAGGATTTGAAGACGTGACCATCGGATGTATAGAAGAGGACTTTGTGGCCATGGGCGGGCGAGTCCCACACTACCAGCCACCGCCCGTCTGGGCTCCAAACCAATGCCTGGGCATCGATTGTGTCGGGAGCCCAGGACCTCTGCAGTCCTCTTGTCGGATAGCTGTGTATGCTTACCATGTCCTTACCCGAAGTTCTCGTCAGCACCGCAAGGTGACGTGTCTCGGGTCGAAAGGAGAAACATTTGGACGCAGAGGATGAAGAAAAAACCTTGGGGCTGCCGATCTCAGTCGCTTTAGACGAGGCGAGGTCGAACATGGAAAACTTGAGTCCGAATGAGGAGATAACACAGATCTCGGCGTCCGACGCACCAAAGCCAACGTATGCTGGTTTCGTACCTGCGGTCGCATGGTTCTGAATGGTGGCACTGAAGCTGTCGTCCAGCGCTGACACGACTCGAATCCGCTCGGCGTCGGCGACGAGCAAAAGACGAGACGAGGGTGACCACTGAAAGCTTAGCACGGGACCCGCAAAGTCCTGTCCGAGCTTTACAACATTGACCACACTGAGTCCGGCGATGGCTCGGACATTGACAACGGACCCGAAGACAGTCGCAATATGTTTGCCATTCGGGCTCGGAAGGGAGTGAACCGAAGCTTTTGATTGTCAACAATCGAGAGGCTCTAAAAGTATGGCTTGGCCTTGAACATTCAAAAAGCTCACATTTCAGTGGGTTTGAGAACTGCATCGCAAATCTGGCCGCGGAGTTCGGCGGAGATGGGAGGAGAGGGCTTGACTTGGGGTGGATGGGGAAGGTGGATGAGGAAGGTGAACTCGCACGTCAGAGATTGCCGGATTTGAAATCCGCTGAATCTGGAAATCCTTCCTCCTCGTTGATGCCTGCCGTGTTGCTCCTAAAGTGATTTTGATTTAGATAGGAACCTAGGTAGGTGGTGGCCTTCTTCAAAGGTGGTTCTGCAAGTCGAGATTGTGAGATACGGTCTGTGCGTGCAAACAAAGAAGGCCGTGTCCGGAAGGTGCCTGCGGTGGCTCCGCTGACTTCGGGCTGTGCCAAGGCCATTGTTCGGCTCAAGATAAGCTTGGGCCACAGGGGGACTCGGCGGCTTGCGAGCCGATAAAATGGGACCCACCACGCCCGAATCCCGCCTTTGCCCCCGCGGAGAACCCCCGCGCTCACACGCTGAGTCACCGTTGCCGTCGGCTTGAGTGCCTATTTCCGTTGAATAAGGCGGGCGATGTCAAAGGGCCTCCGAGGGCCGGCGTGGCAAGAAAACATTAAACAAAGGTCGCATTGACTACTTATCCATTCTCCACGACATGCGCCACTGCACTCGAAACTCCCCTCGAAACCGGTTACTTACGGCGGAATCGCCAAATCACCAAATCACTAAAGTGCTTTAAATTCGGACGATGGCAGCTGCTGTACGCAGCGTCGCCCGCAACTTCCGGGCCGGCAAACTGCAGCCAGTGCCTTGCGCAAATCCGGCGGTCTCGTGGCAAGTGAGATGCGCCTCCGGGGCTGCCACGATCCGCACACCCGACCCGGCGCCGCCACTAAGCCAGGAGGACTCGAATCTTAACGACTCGGCCCGTTCCCCCGCGCATCCGGCGGCGGCCCCGCGTCGGGACCGTATCCGGGATGCCAAGCCCTTCTCCGACTTCCTCACAGACACCTTCCATCGACAACACGACTATCTACGCATATCGGTCACAGAACGGTGTAACCTACGATGCCTGTACTGCATGCCCGAGGAGGGCGTGCCCCTCTCGCCCTCCCGGGAACTCTTAACAACACCCGAGATCGTCATGCTCTCTTCCCTCTTCGTCTCCCAGGGCGTGACCAAAATCCGGCTCACCGGTGGGGAGCCGACAGTCCGACGGGATATTGTGCCTCTGATGCAACAAATCGGGGCGTTGCGCGCCCACGGGCTGCGGGAGTTATGCTTGACCACCAATGGGCTCTCGCTACACCGCAAACTCGAGCCTATGGTCGAGGCTGGCCTGACGGGCGTCAACCTCTCCCTGGATACCCTGGACCCGTGGCAGTTCCAGCTGATGACGCGGCGTGCAGGATTTAATGCCGTCCAGAAGACCATCGACCGCATCTTTGAGTTGAATCGTGTCGGGGCGGGCATCAAATTCAAGATCAACTGCGTCGTCATGCGCGGGTTGAATGACCGCGAAATCCTCCCGTTTGTGGAGTTGACGCGGGAGAAGGATGTGGAGGTGCGTTTTATCGAGTACATGCCGTTCGATGGCAACAAATGGAACGAGGGCAAGATGTTCAGCTACCAAGAAATGCTGGATCTGATCCGTTCTCGGTATCCGGGTCTCGAGCGAGTTCAGGGCCATAAGAACGACACGAGTAAGACCTTCCAGGTCCCCGGATTTACCGGCAGACTTGGGTTTATCACGAGCATGACCCAGGCAACTTCTGCGGCACCTGCAACAGGCTTCGAATCACAAGTGATGGGAACCTGAAAGTGTGCCTATTCGGCAACGCTGAGGTCTCTCTGCGGGACATCGTGCGGAAGGTTAACAAGGGCGAGCCCATCGACGAAGCGGCGTTCGAAGGGCTGGAGCAGGCCGCTATGGAGAAGATAGCAAGCCTTCCCACCTCCGGCCCTCAGGCCCTGGTCGTGCCCAATTCCGAGGAACTTCTCAATGTCATCGGCGTGGCTGTTAAGGGGAAGAAGGAGAAGCACGCCGGCATCGGGGAGCTGGAACATATGAAGAACCGGCCGATGATATTAATTGGTGGGTGATTGTCCTTTACCACTTTCCTTTTTTCTTTATGCATTGGGCGGCGTTCAGGGCATAATAGGGCACGATGCGTTGAGCGTATGACGTTTGTTGGATATTTGGAACGGCTTGAATGGCATGTACGGACAGTCTAGCTAAGTAGAAATTGTAGATGCGTTACCGTCTCAACGGCGCCCCGAGCGCCGAATTGGCCGACTATCGACTCCTTTCCAACTCAGTAAACCCGCAAGCCACCTACCGGCGTTCATGATACCATCTCACGCCACCACAACCCACCACCACCACCACCACCACCACCAACCCCGCCTCTTCTCAACCACTCCCACCCGCCCTCTCAGTAACAACGACAACACCACCAACCCCGCACCACCCAAACTAACGCACGTCACCGCCGCCGGCACAGCGCACATGGTCTCCATCACGGACAAGATCCCCACCAAGCGCGTCGCGCAGGCAAAATGCGCCGTGCGCTTCTCGTCGCGCGCGCCGCTGGCGCTGATCCGTGCCAACCAGATGCGCAAGGGCGACGTGCTGGGCGTGGCGCGCGTCGCGGGGCTCATGGCCGCCAAGCGCACGCCGGATTTGATTCCGTTGTGTCACCCCGTGGCGCTGACGCATGCCGAGGTGGAGTTGGTGCTGGCTGGGGGTGGTGGTGGTGGTGGTGGTGGTGAGGGGACGGAGGGGGGTGGAGGGGATGAGGTGCAGATTACGGCGACGGTGTCGTGTGATGGCAAGACGGGGGTCGAGATGGAGGCGCTGACGGCTGCTAGTGCTGCGGCGTTGACGGTTTATGATATGTGTAAGGCGGTGGATAAGGGCATGGTTATTGGGGATTTGAGGGTGGTGCTGAAGGAGGGAGGGAAGAGTGGGCGGTGGTTGGAGGGGGAGAAGGTTGAGTGATGGTGTTGTTGGAGATGGTGACATACACGGGTGGTGTCTCATCGGTCAGGGGCGGGCTGTTGTTTACTTGGGAAAAGGGGCTTGTTGAGGGTTTCAGTAGAAGCCCTCACCCCGACTCTCTCAACCCGGCTCAACTGTAAGTCAATACTCCTGTTCATTACCCCCCTCGACTCTCTTCACAGCCCCGCTTTAATTATTTACACCTTTTCACCGAAACAAATGTTAATACTATGTATAACTATATCTAAGCAAGAAAAACCACAAGGACTTGCCTTGGAAGAGAAGAACTTCCCTGGTAACTCGGTGGGGAACAGTTGTCGATCTGACAAGCCATGTGTCAACAACCCTTGAATTGCAACTTCGCTTCTCCAGCCACCACTGCCCCTCTTCTTCCCACTATCACTTCAACCTCAAAAGTCAAGCAACCGACAATCGGAAGCTGCCCCCCCCCAGAGCCTCCATCAGTGAGCACTTCCCGCACATGGGACCTGTGCTCCCCCTGTTGTCATGACGTAACAAGAACTAAACAGCCCCTCGGTCGAGTCGGAAAAGCCGCCGATGACAAGCGCTTCGCAGCGAGGGGGAATGTGACATTGAGCGCGTCCTTCCTGCATCTCATCCACCTCCTCACTCACTCCCCAGAGCTTCTCTACCACTCAAAACTCTTTGCATTGCAAAGGAACCCTCAGCCCCCACTGGTCTCGTCTCGTTCAAGTCACAGAGGCTGAACTGGCTCTCCATCCGATCCTCGGTCTCGGCCCCCCTTGTCGTCCCAGCCGCTGTATTCGCCCCCCAGCCTGCGCTGCCCTCAGGTTATTGGATCTCCCAAACCCAACTCATTCGCCAATCAGCACCCGACGATAACCTTCTTTCCTCCTTCCAGCCAATCACACCCCAGGCGGTCATTCCCTGCCAACCGCTTCCAGAGTGGTGGCCATGGCACCGGTGGAGACCCAACCAATGCAGTGGTACGTCTCGGCGGGAGGAAAAGGGCTTTGCCCATCACCGTGTGAGCAAGTCCCAAAGTCCCACATCCGCTCCGCTCCGCTCCGGCATCACGATGAGGGAGAATGACTGGGGGGGGTGGAAAATAAGAAAGAGGAGAAACAAACTGGCCGTATTACTGTATTCCTCGCACATCGAGGGACGAAACCCCAAAGGCGGGGAGGAGATGGACCATGTCAAGAGTTGAGAGCAGGGAAAGTTGCGGCTCGTGCAAACAAAACTTGAAGCGAGTGCATGGTGTTGTGCACTGGTACTTCGTACGCCAATCAAGTTCTGGGAATCTTCCCCAGGCCGATCGGCACCGTCATGATTCAAACATTCTGACGACGATGAGTGAGTCGGATGGGGCGTTCGGGACTGGCGGCTCTCGCGGGATGTCTTTGCCATTTTGGATTCTGGAGAAATGCAATGTAACGGTGTCAATAAGAGACGGGGCTTTTTGGTTGAGACGAGAGAGTCGAGACTGAAAATATCGGTATATTAAGGTACCGCGGTAAGTGAATATATCAGTTGCTTCTCGCCGGTATTAACCTCTCCGTTTGGAAGCAGTATGGCATTTCCCCTCTCATTCGGGTTTATTTTCTCCACGCGTTGTAACATCGTGTCCCTTGATTTGCTATCTTCATATGTTCAGCGAGGTATCATTATTTCAGACCCGCTCAACGGTCCTATCTCCCCCCGCCGCCCTAATCACGGTCCATCGACCCTACCCAACAATATACCGAACGAAGACGGGTGCTCTCTCGAGCTTCTACCGGGAAACGGCCGTTGCAGAACGGAGGGAAACCAGCAAATATTAGCGGGGTAGCATCGACACCCCGTATTTGAGCCGGCAAACGAACCCGACGCCCACGAACCCAACGCCCACAAACCTAAGGTTGGTGTGCTCCCGCTAGATGCTCGACGAGGGTTCCTTACGATAAGAGCATCCACCTGGAAGCGGAAGCGGGCTTGTCGCGGCCCGAACTGTAGCGGTAGCTGTTTTAGGCGTGCCCATGTTTGTCCGCGCCCCGATTTACATGACAATACAGCACGAGTTCTGTTTCTTGGCCGACTTGTAGAACATCTTGCTCTGCGAGCTCAGGTCGGAGCTCTTGGCCACGAGGTCGTCGAGTTTCTCGCCACGTTGCAGGACCTTCCAAATGTTAATATTACGTGTATCATGGCGCCATTCACAATGAAACATACGCTGTCAATGGCCTTGTGGAGAACAATCTTGGTCTCGTCCAGTTCCTGCTGGATCTTGGCGATGCTGCTGGCCTCATTCGCGTCTTGGAAGTTGTTCAAGTAATCCTGCAGGGCGGGGAACGATACATCGCCGTCGTTGTTGGCGGCCTTGATGGTATCAAGCGGAATCTCGGACAGGAACTGGTCCATGAGCTTGGAGAGAACGCTGTGAGCTGCGATATGGGGGTAGTCCTTGGTGATGACCACGCCGGCGACGCCTTCCGACCGAGCATAGCAATGAACGACATAGTCTAACCCGCGTGTGAGTATGGCCCGATATTCGTGGTTTGTCGTATCTGAAACGTACCTTGCTCCTCCACACTCTGCCTCTGACCTGGATTGGTGCGCTCGGCCACGGTCTTGCTGATCATGGTCATAAAGTTCCCATACTCGTTTCTGGTAAACCGCGAGAAATCGCTGAGTTCGTGTGCTGCGCATAGCTGCAGTGCAGGCGCCTTCGTGTTGTCGAGGACCTGGCATGCCGTTAGCCGGCGGCCCCCTGAGAGTAGGGGCAGGTGAAACATACGCCGACGTAGTAGAGCTTCATGGCGCCGGGTGTAATGGTGTCTTGGTGTCTAGGTGTCTATTGGCGGTATCTGTCTGCAAGCCCGGCCGGTATGTACAGCTGGGGCGGGAAGTGGATCGCTTGCAGCAAACGGGCATGGATGCGAAATTCGATTGAATCGGTGATGGACTTCAGCCAATGTACGGGATGTAGGGGTTGGTGGAAACTGTGTTTAACTTCGGGGTCGACTTCGCGGCTTGTATTACGAATACTGTCGGGATTGCCGTCGTCGGAGGTAGGGTTCCCAAGTCGGAAGATTGTCAAGACCTTGCTGTAGCACTCGAAGGCAATTCAAGTCGCTGATACGCTGTTGAGATGTGATGCCGTTTGATGGGGTTCTGCTAACTGAACGTCGGTCTGCACAGGTCAGATGCCAGCGTTCAACAGGATGGGGTCACAGCGAGGCTGCATCGGCTAAAAGATTCCCCGCCGCCGGAGTGGCAAGACCCCCGGACCTGAGCCCCATATTGCCAAGTCATATACCTTTTACACGTATATGCCTTTTACTTAAATATGGCCGGTAAGCTGTAATTCGTGTCTTCTTTGTGGGATGAGTTCGGCCGACCAGTTGGCCGGAAACACCCTTCCGCTCATGACGGCTGCGACCCTGGAGACGGCGAATCGCTATCTAACCCGGCCCTCCACAATTTGTAGGTCTTTTAGAAACCCCAGACCGTTGACTACATCATTCCGACAATGTTTGCAGGAGCATTCAACGTTCTTAAGCGAGTCAGTAACGGTTTGAGACTTCTCTCTAAAGTGAGGGTATCCAGGCCGTCCGACGGCCACACCGTTACAGGGGTCAAGGATATACCTTGTTGTATTCCTTGTGGATGGCGATGGCACAGTGTCAGTTTGGACTTCCAAACACGGCGCAAACCAAACTGCAAACATTTTATGTCGGCTTCATGAGCATCGTCCCCTCAATTGATGTATCTCATGCTAGCCGTGTACAGAGGATCCGATTTGATGAGAGATGTATTATTCGGGCAATAACTTCCAACTAAATTTTGGCAGAAGGCAGTCTCCTCTTCTTTCCCACTGAGTTGAGAAGGAGCATGAGCACTTGCCCGTTCGCGATCATGACAGGGGTCAGGGTTTCACAGACGACGTCCCTTCCGCCCACGGCCTCTTCATCCTTTGGTTCCACCGCTACTTTTGCCCAGGCTGGGATGAGATCTGGTGCCCCAAGCTCGGATCCCGCATTCTTGTACACAGTGGGAATGGGCCCTTGCCTATTCGGTGCTGTTGCCCGACCCACCCGTAATAAGAAAAGATAACGCCTCCGTTGCCTTGACCTTCACCTTACACTAGCCACCGTGCTTCCGTCCCCAGCTCCCTTACACATTCGAGAACAACATTCATACTTGCTTTCGCCGCCTCATTTGAGCGCTTCCGAATCCAACCCGCACTTCCACTCGGCAGTTCAACCTAGTGCCGACCGATCAAACTCAGATAACTATACTTTGTCGCGGTGCATTTCGGCATCCCGCGTCGGCTAGCTGTTGCCATCCTAACCATTCCTCGCCACTCCAGTCATTCGACACGAGTCTCTGGCACTCGACGACTTCCACCACCGTTCCCTATAAGGGCATGTTTCTGAGTGAAACCTGTGCCTCATTTTCCTGCCCAGGTCCCTTGTAGAAGTGTGGAGAGGAATCGACATACGTCTCGGCGCGGGTGCTGACCCCCACTGTCTTGCTTATCGCTACACACGTGTCGCGGCGTATCACCACTCGCTGATAGACAAGGCCCGATCACGATCCCCTCATGGCGACCGATTTCATAATGCCACGGGTCCCGGGAGAGCAGCAGAATCCTTACTACGCGCCTGCGCACCAGCAGCGCCAACAGTATCGTCCCCAACAAGCCCCATTCCAGCCATCCCCGATCACGACCACCTACCCCGCGTCCACACATTACAACTCGCCCGTCTCGCCGCTTGGGACTCCGGGGAGCATCTCACCGACGTCATCCAAGAATTACATCACCCGCCAAATCCGGCCTTTGTATGTTCCTGCCGTGTTGCGTCCAACCGAGTTCCCATCCAAGCCAGCACCACCCCAGCCGGACGCCGAAGATGAGAATGATTTTGTCGAGGATGGCTTGCGGCCGACGAGCAGCTTTCATGAGTCTCGGTGGCCTAAGCGCGTTCGGGCGGCTGAGCAGGCGGGTCTACGGGGAGACAGCGCCAAATCCATCGACAGCATTTTGGAATCTCGACCAGTTCCCCGAAGCCCACAGGCCCGCCCACTCGAGACCACTGGGAGGGTACCTATGTCCCCCGGCGTGAAGTGTAGTTCATCCGTCCGAGCCGACGTTAACATGTCGTGTTGCAGCCCGACAACGAGTCTACCATTTGCGATCACGCCACCTGCAAGCGGTACTTTAGTTACTTCACCCGCCGCCACCACTGCCGCAAGTGCGGCAACATCTTCTGCGACCAGCACAGCACCTTCGAAATCCCGCTCGACCAAGATGGCAATTTCAACCCCCGCGGCGTGCTCAGCCGCTCGTGCGACCACTGCTATTCGCAGTTCAGGGAGTGGCGGAGGCTAGCGACCAGCAAGCCACCTAACCGAGACTCGCCCACCGGGGCCCGCCAGCAAACCCAGCTTGATACCCCATCCACTCCAGTCGCCGCCTCCCCACGCCGCCGCCATGGGTGGCCTACCATTGCACACCCCG